TTCCCCAACTGCAGCTGCTCAAGTTCCTTTTCTTCGGATTGGGGTGGGGAATGAGAGTCTTTAGAGGATATCCGGATGAGCAGGAAGGGAATCAAAGTGCCCTGATTGTGGCTGCTGTTCCAGCCAGCCCACGGCCAGGAAGGCAGAGGGATGCACCAGCCAGCCACCGACACTGCCAGAGTGTCTTGGCACCCCTGCCCCGGCTCTGGTGGCACTGCAGCTCAAGCCATTTTCACTCTCTCCATAGTGCCTTTAAGATACAAGAGTAACATAAAAAGTTTGAGATTAGCCCAGCGTTTGTAACATTTTTCTTCTTTCTTCTGTTTAGGCTTATTACGCCCGTGATGCTCTGGCAAAGAATTTGTACAGTCGACTGTTTTCTTGGCTTGTTACCAGAATCAATGAGAGCATTAAGGTATTGTTGTTTTGTGCTTGTAAAAAAATCAATGGAAATCGTTTAAATTAAAGTGGACAGTAAAACTGTATTTGCCAATTTTGTTTTTCATGATCGTATAGTGTTACATATGGTACAAGTGAATAACTGTATCACAGCTCAAGAGATTCCTGTCTGCTCTTTTTTTTAAGTTTATGAAAATAGTCGTGATAAGTGTATTTTGGGAAACCATACTTAACATTTTAGTTTACGGAATATGACAGCCTACTTATGAAATACATTAGTTTTCTTGATTCCCAGATGAATGACTCAATGTTTAATTTTTTTGAAAGGCACAAACAAAAGTGAGAAAGAAGGTAATGGGCGTGCTGGACATCTATGGCTTTGAAATTTTTGAGGTAAGACCTTTATAATGGTAAACATTTAAAATGAGAGCTGTTATTAAGGCTTAATAGAGTAGTTCATGAATGTGTAATCAGAATACAGGTAATTTGAATCAAGTGTGGCATTCCTGATGAAAAAACACTGGAAAAGTAAGCCAAAGAGAGATGTCTTAGCATGTTTGGCAAATGAAACAAAAATGTATGAAAGCCCAACTTGTATTTTTACATAATAGGTAAATAAATATTTATGATGTATAAACTAAATATATTTTGTTGTGACATACATTCTGAGCATAAGAGAAACTCTGGCAGTGTCAGTTCTGCCCTTAGGCATTTTGTGGATGCCTTTGAACAAGCTTTGTGTATCCTTTAGAAAACACAACAAAACCGATAGATTTTTTTTTTTTTCCTGTCAAAATTAAATACGGAATTATATTCCATTTCATCCATTTCTGTTTCACTTAGATAAATATTCTGAACTGATTCCGAGCTAATGATCAGTGGCTCACCGCTGTTTGTTTATGATAGCATTTTTAGATTGGTGGTATTCTGAAACAAAAACAATCAACGAGGAATTTTTAATTGGGTTAGAGAACACCAGGGAGAGTGCGTTTTCATAAATCTTACTCTGATGGTTTATTTTAAGACATTTATAGGTCTTGGTTGGAAACTGTATGTAATGGTTAAACTAGAAACAAAATTGGTGAGAAAAATCAGAAACTTGCAGTGCTTACTCACTTCCCTACATCCTCCTTGAAAATCCAGGAGTGTGTTTAACTGTGTAGAAGATGGGAATAATCCAGATGAGTAATTACATATGGGAGGGTGGTGTAAGTTTTATTTCAGAAGTGCAACATCAAAGTATGTGCAAATCAAAATACCTCTATGAAGAGGAAAAACAAAGCTGAGACTTGCTTTAAGGGTTTACTAAGCTAAGTTGTATTGTTTGCATTAAACATAAGAGCACATTTATGAAAATATGTTGCAAGTGGTCGGGTGGCTGAATGCAGATCTCGGTGACAGATCTCTCTCTGGAGCTGGTCCTTGGCGTACCTTTAGAAAGCTGGACACTGGAATGGTACTGTTGGCATCTTTGGGCAGGACTCTTGTTTTCACTGGCTCTTTTGTGTTTGATTAAGGATAAACACGTAGGGTGAGGCGGAAGACGGAAGCTTGTGCTAGCACACGCACCAACTGAGTAATCATGTTTGTGGTGGTGCAGATGGTGTTGCAGAAACAAGGTTGTTTTGCACATGTAATTTTTTTTTCTAGGAGTTTTAGCATCTTAGACGGTCATAAAAGTAGATGAGTACAGGAGATGTAGTTTTGCAGAAGAAAAATGAGAAAACAACGCTCTTTTCACTTACCTTGCACACTGAATTACAATGTAGCTTTCCCAATTCGTACAAACTCAAAAGCTTTAAAATAATGCAGGAAGTTATTATTCAGTCCTTTAAACACTGAATATTGGTTCTACTGGAAGAGGTGCGAAAGGTTTGCTTTGTGACTCAAGAGGATCAAATTCATCAGTATGTTCACACAGGACTGGACTGTTCCTCTCATAAGTTAAGACCTATGGTGAAAGCACTAGCCAAGCAGGTTGGTTCAGCATGACAGAAATAAATAGAATTATTTCTGAACAGTCAAAATGGGATTCAGGTAGTATGCCAGGAGCATACATAGCTTGTATTATGCTATATTTTAATTTTAAGATGTTTGGAAAAGAAACTTGATTGGTTTAGGTTTCTAGAGGTAACTGGTACAGTAACTGGTGTTGGGACTGTGTGGCAGCACTGTAATTGAAAGGGTGAATGACAGAAAAACAATCCATTAAAAATTCTGAATCAACTGTGTTTCCAGTACCACCCACTCTTAGCCATCCGTCTGTTTCCAGACAGGTTAATTTTATAATCAGAAACTGCTGACTGATTCTCAACTGAATCAAAAGCAAAGATATTATTTCAAGGCAAGAGAAAATTTATTTTCTGTACAGCTCTAATTGGAACAAAAGATCATGTTATGTCGTAGTCCTTAAATTGAGTAAAATAATTCTGTAATGAACACTGTATAGCAGAAGTGTAACTGGTCTCATAGTCACTTGGATGAATATCATGAAGTAAGGTCAGTTAAGAGGATGTCTGCCAAATATTTTTGTGTTGAGTTTTGTATCAAGTGATCAAATCTCACTAAAATTATTAAGGATCTTGAGAAAATGCTTACAAAAAGCAATTATTGTTGAGAATTTAAGTAATCACTTCACAAAAAATATGTTGTTTGAAAATAATTATATTAAACCCATCAATAAATTAATGAAATGTTAACACTGTACAATACAGTAACTCAAAGAAAATTCAATAATGTCAAGATTTATAGCATTAAAAATATAGTGGAATTTGGAGTGTATGGTACATTTGTAAACACAATGGCTAAACATTCAAAATATTAGCTGAGGTGTAGCTCATGGCAGTAACCATATCCATCTAATTATAAATTACTTAAAACCATGGACTATAAATGTGCAGTTCCTTTTTGAACCTAATTCTTAAGTCAGATTTTGATTTCCATGGCTGTTCTTGAAGGTTGGAACTAATGATCTCTAGAAATAATGTTTTTTGGCAAAAACGTATTTGAAAGATGTCTTTATCTGTGAACTTGGGCATTTTAAACTCGTAAACTATTTGATATACTGAAGGTAAAAAGGCCTCCTTTAAACGTGTTTCTACTCGGGAAGCAGAGAGGTTTATCATTAGTGTGTGTTCTCTGACCTAAAGTGTCCTTGTACCTTGGAGACAGAACGTATCAAAAAACATAGAAGGTGTAGTAGGAGTTTTTTTGTATACATGCTAAATATTTGTACATGAAGCTTAATACCATTTGAAATAAGTAGCAAGATGCGTGTTTACTGAAGGGTGTTTTGTTTTGGGTTTGTTTATTTTTTTTTCCCTTTAATATGCTTACACCTCAGGATCGCTGAAAGAATAAACTAATGATATTGTAGTTTACCTGTTTCATCCTGATGTTCTCACTTGAAAGTTATTGGAATACACTGTGGACTAGTCTGCTTCCACTGCAGAAACATTAGTTTTACTACATGTTTTTGAGGTTTCTGTTTTGTTTCATAATGGGCAATGCAGACAACATTTCTTGGGCCTTATTCCTGTTCCTTATTCCTTAGATCATCCTACAATTCCTCCTATAAGAAGAGTAAAGAAATCCAGACTTAGCATTCTGAAAGATCCTACGCTTTACCTTCTGATGATAATAGCAGTCTTGGTCTATTACATGCAAATTGAAGCTTATATAAGTGAGATTTTTTTCATCTATTTTTGAAAGGCTATTTACTGTCTGCTGTAATTTCTACAATTTGCTGTAATTTAAGATGAAGTAGCTGGAGGTTTCTTGAAACTTAGCAAAGGAAAAATTCTGGAGTGTTGATAACACTGGCAGATACTCTGCAGGATTTGGTTTCCGCTAGTATTTCTATCAAGCACAAACCCCCTTTTTCAGACAAACCCAAAAGCTATCCAAGAAAGCAGATTTAAGGACTTGGCTGTCCAAAAATTCAGATTAGGGAATTTAAATCTATCGATAATCCTCAGCCGCTGTGGGTTTGGCAAATGTCAACAACAAGCTTGGCTAAACAATCCACAAAATAGGTGCTGTAAAGCTGTGTTTATTTTTGGATCCTGCCATGCCCTTTGTGGTAAGCTGCATGCTGGGACTGAATGTTTTGAAAGCAAAATGCTGAAATTTTGTGTGTCTCTGTGTGAACTGTCTATGGGCAAGGATTCAGGGACTAGGATTAGTGTGAAAATGCAGGCTACAGGACCAGGTTGGTTGTGTAACGCTGCTGGAGCTTGAGCAATGGATTGAAGCCTGACACTAAATGTGCCAAGTAGGTTTATCCACCTTTCTGAGCAGCTGCATGTGTAGTCAGTCTGCAGCCTGGGCTGGGATTTGAGGTGGGGTGGGGATGATGGTTGGTGGCACTGCGAATTTCAGGATCAGCTTGATTGCAGACTTCCTGGTGTAGGTTTAGGGCTGGTCCCTTTTATTCTGTGTTTGATTCTGTATTTTTGGGCAGGAGTGGTTTCTGCATCTCTGCAAAATGTCAGGGTGGGGCTGTGGAAGGGGTGGGGTGTATGAAAAAGAAATGAAGGCTGCAGAAGGCAGATGGCTGAGGGCCTGGCAGGTTCTAACAGAGATGGACAGAAGACTCATTCTGTTTGGTTTGGACATTTAATTTTCTGTTGTCTACATTTCCTGTGTAGACGACAGCTAGGGTATGTAAAAATGAGTGTCGTGGAGCAAGTGTGAATATTTCATCCTGCCTAGCCTCCGGAGATAAAAATGTCTGTCTGTGCTTGTTGGCTTAAAGGCTTTATTCTGAATTTTCAGGCGCCACTATGTAGCTGGTCCATATGATGAAGCTAATGATTTGGAGTGCAGTTTTATGAACGTTAAGACTGCCAAACAAGGCTTATTCTTGAAATTTGCCAGGCCCTGAGAAGACAGGTTGAGAGTGTGAGTGCTTTCTGTTCAATCCCTTGGTGGAGCAGTTTGTTCCATGGATTTTAGCCTGACGAGAAGCGGGGATACACCGGGGACAGAGCTGCAAAAGTAAAGGCTGCAGAAAGAGAGGGGCTGTTTCTATTTGTCCTTCAGGCGTCTGCTGAGGGTTGACCTGAGGTGATGTGGATGCCTTGTCTTTGGGGACAGCATCTTACCAACTCCTTTTGCTCCAGGTACACGAGAGCAAGCAAAGATGTGTCAGTGTCCATCCCATTCTGCATAAAACCCAGCAGTGTATAACAATACCACCAACAAAAGAGCCAAACAAGGCACCCAGCAGTAAAAGCAGGTCCATTTCTCACAGCCTGTGATGCACTTTGATAGTGCTTCTATTTATTTACAGCAATTAGCTTGTTTCTTGTGTGTAGAAGTCCCTTGTGGTGATGGCAAGAAGCTTGGTCATATTGCATGTGGTATGTAAACTGTCATCTGGGCATTGATAA